TCCAATTTCCAGAAAGCCTCAAGGATAAGTGGATATGTTTATTTCTTCTCATTCACTTATTCACTCATTCCTTTTCCCCCAGTGGTTTTTGGTATGTCCACAAAGTTGTGCAACTATCAACTATCTAATTCCAGAACATTTTCGTCACCCAAAAAGAAACTGAAACCCATTAACCATCATTCCCCCTTCCCATTCATTCATTTCTAAGGCCTGGCTAGGGTAACCCTGTAAGTTCAACGGCAGAGCGCACATTAGAGAATACAACTTCAGAGAAACAAGATGCTGGAGAAGTGAAGTTCAATTTCCTGCAGGATCTGCTGGGAGCCTGAATCAATGAAAAGCTGAATAAAGGTCCTAGCTGGTCAGGCTGACAATTTTCCCTCAGAGACTAAGGCAAAGCCACAATGCTTGATTAATTGAAGAGAATGGGTAGCTGTTACTCTGAACCCAGTCCTGCCCAATAAGGAGGAACTGGCAAGAAGAGCGCAGGCCCTAATAGCCAGGGAGGCGAAGTCTGGATACAGGCAGCCATGAACTTCAGACTTCATAAAAGCAGAAATGACTCCATGACATGGGAGATGGGCTCACACCTCATCATCCACTGGACACCAAAGAATATTTAGGATGCTAAGTTGAGAATTTTTGACTCAGAAGACACATGATAACTGTTATCTAGTAACTGATAGGTTGTCAAACGAGACACTAGATTTGTTCTATATGGCCCCAAGAGGCATAAATGGGACTAATGAGTGGAAAATTACAGGAAGAGAGCAGTGTTTCAGATCATTACAGGGAAGGATTTCCTAACAGTCAAGCCATCTTAAGGCAGAATGAATTGCCTCTAAGGTAGAAAGTTCAAATGCAATCTAGACACTCCATAAGTGGATGCGGTGGAGGTAATTCAAAAACCAGAGGGTGATCTGACAACTGTGGCATTCCCACACTTGAGCGTTGAGGTCAGCTGTGAGGTAGGCTGCAAGTGACCTGGCACGATAATAAAACACTGAGGCGCACGATTACTGTCTCCAGATTCTGGATTATCACTATAACGCCACTCCTATTCACTTATATCACTAAACATTTTCTTGAACAAAGGTGAAAAAACTCTACATTGCTGGGTAATGCTCATGGGAGTGTTCTCCTGAAGTGTGTTTTCAGGCTAAGAAAAGTGGAGAATTACCAGGTTGGATGACTAGTAGAATCCCTTCCAAGCTGAGATTTCACGAAGATAGGTGGCACCCTCTCCTCCGCCTGCAACCTAATTATGATCTACTGGTAGACAGGTGGTCACTGCGATTTGTTGAATTGATCACTGGAGTGCCTCACCTGATAGACACTGCTAACAAGTCCTGGAGTACATCTGAACTCTACCAAAAAGGAAAGTGAGGACCAGGTATGTCCTGGTCAGAGTACATCTGAACTCTACCGAAAGGGAAAGTGAGGACCAGGTATGTTACATCTGTCTGCTTTTCACAGAGTGGTCATTCAATTTTAATGAAACCAAAGGAAAGTTAAACTTTACAGTTTCTTTAAAAAAAAACAAACAAACAAAACAAAACTACAGATGATATAAATAGGCCAAGAAAACACTATTTGTTTTTTGAAACTTTAACATTTTTCCCCCTAAGCAAGAATTGACATGAACTGGTAACTACCTTAACTTAACCTGAAGTTAGCCAATCTCACCCCAATCCAAACTGGAAATGACTTTCCCTTTTCAACTCCTTGGATAAACGGCCCTGGCAGAAACTGTTGTCACAAAGGCCAACTGTAGAAGTGCCACCGTAAAACTGTTTGCTGACCAACTCAGGCCTTTTCGGAGTCTTCCCTGACTCCTTTTCCATGTCCTTTCTCTGCTGCTCTGCCAAACTGCTCCTCTGGAACGACAGAGAAACTAAGTGGATGGAAGGTGTCTGGTCACCCGGTGCAGCAGGCTACTGAGCGGCCTGTGATTTCTGGCACCTCATAATATTTTTGTATTACACAATTTTTTTCATTATAAAACTATTATTGCCACATTATAAAAATTTGGAAACTAAAGAAAGGAAAAAAAATCTCTTATGATCCCATCATTCAAATAAAATCACTGCATTTTGGTGCATTGCTTCCTCTCCTCCAGGGCTCTTTGTATATAGTTCCATGGGCTGCGTCTAATTAGCTTATTTATACATACCTCAGCTCTTCTACAAAGAATTTGCAGCAACTAACATAAATATCATCAGACGGACAACTCCACGCCAACATACTCTCTCCCAAACCAGCTTGTACTCCTGATTCCCATTTCTAACTTATGGGTTCCATCTCCCAGTCATCCAGGTTGAAACCTTGGCACCATCTTGGACTCTTCTCCCTCAACCCCAGTATTCATTTCCATAGATTCTTCTGTCATTATCCCTTTCTCACATCTGTCCTTCCCACTCCAACCCCCCTATTGATTTTGCTACCATCTAGTCCGAGTCCATAACTATTGCAATGTTTCTCTGACTCATTTTCCAGCCTCTAGTTTCTCTCCTTTTCCTTGAAGTGCTAAATTATTTTCCTCTTTTTGAATGCTCTCTTGCTGAACAACATCTGCTTGCCTTTCCCTTGTCTAACAAACAAAAGACACTATTTGGTCTGAAAATTTATCCCCAAATCTGTCCCCAGTCTATATTTCCTACCATATCTTTGACCACTTCCTCTAAGAAACCTCTGCTGACACACTTGTACCCTAGACATAAAACTGCAGTGTATGCAGTGAGTAGGGTAGGACATGTGCCAGCTCCCTGGAATCCCTGCAAGGTGCAGCATTCCAGGCCAGCTGAGACAGAGGAACAGGTAGTAGATGTATCCTTCTGCTATTATCAACTATGAAACTGGACAAAACAAAGGAAGCAATTCTGTCCAAGCATTACACAAACAGTAGAGGTGTGAACCTAGAAGGAAGGAAAATATGAGGAATGAGGTCCATGGTCACCTGGCTTTCAGCCTAGGGGCATTTTTCACACTGTGGCTTAGGGAAGTGGCATCTACATACCGAGCAGGTATGCCTAAGCCTCTGCATGCAACAGAGATTGCTAAGAATGTAAGAAATCAAGCCAGTACTTGCCTTTTGAAGTAGGCTGCTTGAATTTTGGATTTTAAAAAGATATAATTTCTCTAAAATTTCCAGGGGACCTTTTCTCTTGTTATGCTTTATCTTTCTTTATTGAGGCTGGGCACAGTGGCTTGTGCTTGTAATCCCATGGTGGCTCGTGCTTTGGGAGGCCAAGGCAGGAAGACTGCTTGAGCTTGGGAGTTCAAGGCTGCAATGAGCCACTGAATTCCAGCCTGGGCGACAGAGTGAGACCCTGTCTCTAAAAATCGATTAATTAATTAATTTTTAAAAAAGAAAATACTGAGCAATCTTGCCCATAGTTTCAAGGAAGATAAAAACAGGAGATATGAACATCTTTGCAATGTTTTAAAAGACTAGGCCACTAGGCCATCAGTGCTTGGTAGCAGACTGAAACTGCAACGGTGGATATCCACATTGGGCAAATGTCAAAGGCCATGTTAGTGCCAAGATCATCTGTGAGGATGACCAAAGCCAAAGCAGTCACCCAGAAGCCACCCTAGAGAGGGGCAAGAAATAGGTAAAAACTAGAAGCAGCACATCTGCGGTATTAGAAGAGGGATTGCGGGTGCTGGGCATGGTGGTTGATGCCTGTGATTCCAGAACTTTGGGAAGCTGAGGTGGATGGATCACTTGAGCCCAGGAGTTCAAGACCAGCCTGGGCAACATGGTGAAACCCCATCTCTACCATAAATACAAAATATTAGCCAGGTTTGGTGGCGTACATCTGTAGTCTCAGCTACTTGAGAGGCTGAGGTGGGATGATCACCTGAGCTTGGGAGATTGAGGCTGCAGTGAGCCATGATCATGCTACTACACTTCAGCCTGGGCAAAAGAGTGAGACTCTGTCGAGAAGAGGAGGGGAGGGCAATGGAGGGGAGGGGGAGGGGAGGATTGGTAGGGTTCACTTTTCTCACATCCTACACATTTTTCCTTTGAGAGTCAATTGCTGCATTCCCTTCCTCCAGCTATAATTTCCAAAGACAACTAGCCTTAATCCTACTTTTACCTGCTCAGTAACATCCCAGAAGAATGTTTAAAGAGCCCCTATCAGTTTGCCTTTCTCAGCTTGCTGGACAGATGAAAACCTACTGGGAGTAGCCCAGGCTTCTCCAGCTCAGCCCTAGACAGGCAGTTCTCAGGGTTCCTGCTACCCAACTGGAAGCATGACTTTGAAGAGTACCCTTTCAATCACGTTATTTGGTGTTAAATTCAGGTAAAGAACCCTATGTCTCTCCCAAGCAGAGCCCTTAGGAACTTTCTTTCTGTGATACCTTACGCCAACACTGGAACTATCTGAAGGGCCAAGGCTTGCAATTCATTCTTTTGCACTCACTGTTGCCCCTTCTGAGGCCCAAGAAGATTCTAGTGAGAGAATATTTCTCATTCTCACCCTCACCAACGTCACCACAGGAACACAATCTTTTTTTTTCTTTCTTTCTTTTTTTGAGATGAGTCTCGCTCTGTCGCCCAGGCTGGAGTGCAGTGGCACGATCTCAGCTCACCGCAAGCTCCGCCTCCCGGGTTCACGCCATTCTCCTGCCTCAACCTCCCCAGCAGCTGGGACTACAGGCACCCACCACCACGCCTGGCTAATTTTTTTGTATTTTTAGTAGAGACGGTTTCACCGTGTTAGCCAGGATGGTCTCGATCTCCTGACCTTGTGATCCGCCCGCCTCAGCCTCCCAAAGTGCTGGAATTATAGGCATGAGCCACCGCGCCCAGCCCAGGAACACAACCTTAAGGTCACATAGTTGTAAAGGCTCAGAGGCCTGTGGCAAGTTCAGGCACAAAGCAAACCTAGCCTTGCATAGTATGCTGCTTAGGGAGCGCAGGGCAGCCAGGCAAACCACACAGGCATGCAGACTGCCTGCTGCCCAGGATGCTATAGAAATTTCCATCCTACCATCAGCGAGTGGCTTGCAGGAGAGGGCGTCATCGAGGTCTCGGGCGGTTGATGGGTCAATGGTGAAGATACAGTCTTTTCTAGGAAAGATTGAAGAAACAATTAGCAATGCCACAAATAATAGCAACTTTACCCCATCATAGTACAGCTTTAAAGAACAGTGAATTTTGTATATGTGCTCTGTTAGGGAAAGTGAAAAATAACTTCTATGAGAATGAGATCTTTAGTTAAATGTGAGACTGGGAAGAGACAAATGGGTGAGTGATTTTCTCTTCCTCTGTGTGAACTGGCACCTACTTCTCCTTCACCCCAAGCCAGAAGAGATGTGAGTGGGTGAAAATGAGGCTGCTTCCATGAACGAGGCTTCTCAAGAAGAGTTGGCCGACAAGAGCGGCAAGTTACTTTGGTAAATTATTCTTCAATTTACAACTTTGGTAAAATACCCTTCTCCAGTGTCTGATGGGAAGCTGTCCTTTAAGGACCTCTATGAAGATAATTTACTGTTCATTCTCCTATATTGAAAAAAATGGGGGTATGCCAAAGAATAAGTCATCTGACATGCGATACAGGGGGATGAGACCCAACAATAAGCTTTGCAAAAAAACTGGGCCGTACAGTTAACCATAAAATAAGCCTACCTGGAAGTAGCACAAATCACAGTCTGTTTCCACAGAATAATTATATACTACAACCAAGCTTATACTAAGTTCACCATTTTATCCTTGCACGGTATCCTTACGAACACTGCACTCTTAACCTGTGAAACTCTCATTCTGTTTATAGTTTCCCATATAGCATGCCTGACTCAACCCACCCATTTCCACCATGTAAATACCTAAAGATTTTGGCAGCAGCTGTCCTTGGCTCTCCATACCTCTGGCCTTTCCTGCCTGGGCACTGCCTGGAGATTGGGGTATTCTGCAGCAACTGCCCTTCTGCCTCCATGCCACACTCTCTAGTCAGTGCTCACTGCTTCCTAGGTTCTTCCTCCACTCCAACCAGTACTAGCAGTGCACTGCCACCATTTCTCTGTCTTTTGCTGATTCATCAACACTGATGATGTTGTCCATACTTGTACCAACCATGATAAGACAGGCTTTGTTCTTAAAGACTTCTTTCCTGGTGTTGCTCCTCTGTTCAAAACTTCCTTGGCAGGAGTGAGCTATGATTGGGCCACTGCACTCCAGCCTGGACAACAGAGCGAGACCCTGTCTTCAGAGGCTGCCAAGCTGCTCTCGTGCTGGCCTGCCACAAGCTCTCGGGGCCTTTCTCTGTCTCAGTCTTAACTGTCCACTTACCCTACTCCTAATTACTCCCAACAGCCCTCTCTAATCCTAACCACAATACTTCGATCCTAAGAGAGTATTAATTATAAGATGCATCATCAATTCTGTAATAGCTTTTGAAGAAATAAAAACCCCACCACATTAAATATATACATTAATTTTAAGACATTTTAGAATTTCAAAAATGTCAAATGTTTAAAAAATAATAACCTTGTTTGGATGGCTCACTGCAGCCTCAACCTCTTGAGCTCAAATGATCCTCCCACCTCAGACTCTCAAGCAACTGACAGTATAGGTGCATGCCACCATACTGGAGTAGTTTTAAAACTTTTTGTAGAAACAGGATCTCACTCTGTTCCCCAGGCTGGTCTCAAACTCCTGGCTTCAAGGGATCCTCTCAATTTGGCCTCCCAAAGTGCTGGGATTATAGGTGTGAGCTACCATGCCCAACCCAAAAAGTAATCTTAAATGGTAAATGGACAACTAGACTGTGGTACACTCCCAAAATGGAACAGTAATTAGCAACAAAAATTAACAAATTATTCATAAATCCAACAGCCTGGATGAATCTCAAAGGTATTGAACTGAGTGAAAAGAGCCACTCTCAAAAAGAAAACAAAGCACTTTGGGAGGCCAACGTGGGCAGATCACCTGAGGTCGGGGGTTCAAAACCAGACTGGCCAACGTGATGAAACCCCGTTTCTATTAAAAATACAAAAATTAGCTGGGCATGGTGGCATACGCCTGTAGTCCCAGCTACTCAGGAGACTAAGGCAGAAAAATTGTTTGAACCCGGGAGGCGGAGGTTGCAGTAAGCCAAGATTGTGCCACTACATTCCAGCCTGGGCAAGAGAGAGAGACTCAGTCTCAAAAACAAAAAAAAAAGCGGGGGTGGGAAGAGGGGAGGGGAGAAAAAGAGGAGAGGAGAAGAGGAGAACAGAACGGAATGGAAGGAAAACAGAGATAAGACAGAGAGCAGATCAGTGATTGCCAGAGCTAGGAAAGGGATGCTTGTATGGGGGCAGCAGAGGGACTGGAACTAAATCTATACATGTCTTAAAATTCACAGAATTTTACATACAGCAAAAGGAGGTCAATTTTATTGTTTACTATTTTTAAAAAAAATTAATGTGACTTTCAAATCAAGAAAAGTAAAACATATATGTTAAATATTCATAGGGTTGATCGACAGGTGCTACATTTATGGATTAATTTTTTTTCCCTTTAATGTGTACTTTTTCATATTTTTAAAATTTTTCAATGCAATTGAATATTACTTTTGTAAATGGAAAAAATAAAAACTGTAGAGAATCTTCCTCAATCAAAAAACAATTGATCAGATATGTATTATTGTTTGTACATAGATTTAGCTATCTTGTAACATTTGTTACAAGATGCATTTGGCTTAATATAGTTAATGGCTTCAAGATTACAGATCTGGTAAAAACTGTGTCCCCACTGGATGCTAAGACAATAGGGCAGGGAAAGCTGGGTGCCATTCAGGTGGAGGGAACAAGAGCATTTAGCGTGCAGATCCCAGAAAGGGTGGTTAATCAGGAGACCCACTCTCCCACTAAATATTTCGAGGAGAGTCACACACAGTGTAGGGAACATGAAGGTTCAAGCCTCAAGATATACAGAAGTAATTCTGGTTCCACTATATAAAAGAGGTTGTAAGCAAGAGTGCCAGAGGAGAAGAGAAACACTGATCTCCTGGAACGTGTGCTCCAAGGGCTGTGTTCCCAGAGCCTTGAACAGAGGCCGCACCTCAGACATGTTTGCTGAATGAACAGATGGATGGCAATAGGAAGTGCCCAGGAGGTGAAATCAGACCTGGCACCACAGCAATGGGCTGTAATTGATGAGGATCTTGAACTTGGCTCACAAGGTAAAGAAGGAAGTATCCACTTCTGTCTCCTTTTGGTATCTCCCATAAAACCTAACCAAATGTTTTATATACACTGAGTACTCAATAAAAAGGACTTGTATAACTGAAACTAAAAAGTCAGACATGGTAGTAGGAATGTTTGGTTCTTCTTCTTTCATCATAATGACATCATAAAAGCCAAAAAAATGTTCCTCTAGTCAAAATCAAAAAGAACTCCATTAGCTTGGTTGCAGGTGGGAAACCATAGTTTACTAGATTACTTGGAGGGTTGACTAGGAAGTTTTATTTTCTTAAAATTAAATGTCTCTGGGTGCTTTGAGACTTTCATTTCTATCGATCCGGTGCATTAATGATAATGCCCATTAAGACATTTCCAGCCTGAAGTTGATTCAACCATATGTGACCGTGTAAGATAAACAGTGTAAGACTGTTTATCAGTTTGTAAATGTCTTCTTTGGGAGCACCCACAACTGCTTTCTAAGGAAAATCCTAGACTAGCCTGTAAGGACTCAAACCAACTCTCTATTACCTTTAACACTTTTTAATCTGCTCTTAAACCAGAAACATAAAAGTCTAAATTAAAATGGAACCTGACAAACAGTACTCAGGAAGGCTTGCTTGCTGGAAAGGTAAGCCATCCAAACATTACTCCTGATCAGGAATTGGCAAACCATATTACATTGGTCAAATCTGGCCTGCCACTTGTTTGTGAATGACCTACAAGATGAGAACAGTTTTAATATGTTTAAATGACTAAAAAATAAAAAATCAAAAGGAGAATACTATTCTGTGACGCAAAAATGATAGCGGAAATTCAAATTGCACTACTCACAAATAAAGCTTTATCGTACATAGCCACACTTTTTCTATACAATGGCAGTGCTGACTAGCTGTGACAGACAGCTGTTTTAGTTGTGCCTAAAATATTTGCTATGTGACCCTTCGCAGGAAGTTTGCTGACCCCTGTTTTAGATCAATGGTTCTGAATGTGCCAATTAAGTGTTTTATTTTTTTTAAAAAAAGGTCTTGTGATTAAATCAGTTTGGGAAATACCGGGCTGATTTCTTAATTGTAGGGCTTCAAGGAGCCTTTAATATGCCAGTATCAATAGTTCTTGCCCAACCCATCTGCTCCTGGCACTTCTCTGTGGGACAGCATCTCCCAGAACCAAGATTCCTCAAGGAAGCACCTTTGGAGATGCGAAGAACTGCACTGAAACACCCTGCACAGGCCTCCCATGGTGCCCTCGTCCTACTTGGGGCTTTGCCACCAAGGCTACCCCAAGGGACACTGCAAGAAGTCAACCAAATGACTGCTATCACTGCAGGGAAGCAGGGAGAACAAGGGCCCATTTGACCATGCAGTATCCTTTTATAGAGTGCACTTATGGGGAAAGTTGATGCAGTATAAGGAAACACTCTTCTCGTGACAATCTGTATCTTACAGACACACAAATTTTATCCTTGATGGTTTCCCTTTTTATGCTATATGAACTGTCTGCTGTACAAAATAAAATAAATAAACTTTAAAAAGCTTTCCTTTTTGCTTTGGCTGCTAGGAAACTCAGAAAACCTTCCTAACTTGCCTCTAGGAGATTTTATTTATAGTTTGCACTTTGTGAACTAACCCTTATCCTGGCTGTGCCTAATTTTCCTACTCACGTGTTCCTTTTGCCTCATTTCCTAATTTTTAAAAAACACTTGCTGGGCACAGTGGCTCATGGCTGTAATTCCAGCACTTTGGGAGGCCGTGGTGGGCAGACTGCTTGAGCCCAAGAGTTCAAGACCAGCCTGGGCAACATGGTGAAACCCTGTTTCTAAAACAAATACAAAAATTAGCCGTTGCGGTGGCATGAGCATATAGACCCAGCGACTCAGGAGAAGTAGGTGAGTACTCCTGAGCAGTA